TATACTAATATTTTTCAAAGGGTTGTAGGGACCAACCCAGTGATGGTGAGCTTGATGATGCTGAGGATCCGGGGCCGTATAGATGCAAGGTTGAAGGATGGTCGCTTTACCTGCGATTCCATGACGTAGTCCCCACTACCTTAACCCTTAACGTAGGTAAAATCATGGTCTGGCCCAAGACTCCTTAACAATGGCGCACACTTTGGAGTCCAGGTAGTATCTTGTGTGAAGTGTGGCAGCAGACCAAGGCAGCATCCTTCCTTTGCAGAGCCCAGGTACAAAATGGGGCGATTGTTTTCACATGAAATACTCACCATGGATAGGGGACCCCAATGTAGACCATAAGATAGGAGTACGAGCTTTGTCATGCCAACCCCCCAAATTTGGACCCCGGAATTTCGAAAACCATCGTGAGGGTTCAAAGATGTCCACAACGCCAGAGCCCTAGCGCTAAGCAGCTCGACCCTAAACCCTTGAGTCTTTCCGACTGCTGGATGGGAGGAAAAGAGGCACCTTAACCAAACAAGTTAAATCCTACAACCCTAAACCCCACATCCTAAACCTCATAAACCCTAAACCCTAGGACCCTGGGCCCATCCGACCTCCCTGGGCCCGAAGCTACGCTGAAGCCCGGGTCCGCTGATGCACTTCTTGAGGCGTTGGCCCACTTAATTGAGTAGCATTTTATTTGGGAATACTATGGTACCAATTATAGAGTAAGATTCTATCCTCCTTTTGGGGTATAGTATTTTATATAGGGAATGTAATCTTATTAGGTTCAACCACCAGAAAAAAGCTACTCAGCTGGAGTCTAAGTTCCTTCAAGGGGGGGTTATATAGGGCTTGGGGTTGAGTGTAGGGTTTTGGTTGTAGGGTTTTGGTTGTAGGGTTTAGGGTTCAGGGTGTAGGGTTTAGGGGGTTACAGAGGAGATCTTATAGGGGACTCCAGCTGTGGGCAAGTCTGTGATCATCAGGCACTTGGACCTTTAGGGCAAGGAGACTTGACATCATGTAGGGTGTAGGTTCTGGGGTCAGGAGAACCGAGTAAGAATAAATATAATCCATATACATATATGTAGCCCATATAACGCCCAGTTATCGCCATTCTAAAGCTACTTCTGACCCTCCCTGCAAGACCTGGGCTCCTTAAGGGCGGACAGTGCTGTGTGTTCAGAGTCTTACGATTAGGGTTCAGGGTTTAGGGCTCAGGGTTTAAGGTTTAGGGTGAGGACAGGAGTTCGGAGTCTCGGGTTTGGCTATGCCTTCCGCATGCCGGATAACTCACAGGATGATTTGCTAACGAGGGGCTCCTAAACCCCTAAACCGTGATATAGGGTAGGGTTGAGGATGGTTGAGGGAATCAAGTGAGTAGTACTACAAAATCATGGAATTACACCCTAAACCCTACACCCTATAGCTGTGGGCATGGAGTAAAATTCCATTCTTCTCTGGTTAACTTGTCTTGTACAATGAAGGTCCAACCAGCAAAGCCCTCAACTCAATTGATTACGCACGCTGCAAGCGAGTTTCTCAGAGCTGCTTGAAAACCCAAACCCTAAACCCTAAACCCTATATAAACCCGAGACCGTCCTGGAGGTGCACCGCCTACGGTCCATCTGTATTCCCCATATATCCCTGGGGTTCCCAAGCGCACCCTCTCTCAAGGTTTAGGGTTTAGGGTGTCCCCCTTTGCAAAAAGATGACATTGAAACCATGGTCAGTTGCCTCTGGGACTCGCACTGCAGTATCATGGCGACGGCATGGCTCAGAGTTTGGGAGACGTTTTTTTGCTTCCATGCTGTGGCAATGCATGCGTACTTTTCAATACCTTAGGTCCCTGAGGAGCACCACAAAAGCCAGTGTCAAGCACTGTTTGCTGGCATCTTCCTGAGCACGAGAAGGGTTGAGATTCCATGTCTAAGGGAGCCTGAAGAAGTAACAAGAGTCATGGGATTCCTCATTTTGTCGCCATTGTGCGATGGCATAGCAACAATGCTGCAACTTCCGTGAAGGTGCGGGTAGACCTCGACATAGCCAGCTGAGCTGCCCTTTTTTTCTGTTTGGCCTTCATGTCGGGATGATCCGTATTTGGCGAATTTCAGGACAGGAGCTGACATCCATTAGCGTGGATGAGATCTCGCACGTCCAGGACTTGAAAAGCTCACTGCGCAGGCTGCATGGCTTCCCAATTTGCATGCAGCAGCTGCTGCGTGACAGCATCAGCTTGGACAATGCTACCAGGCTAGATGCTTCCATCGATCTACAATTGATACTCTTAGCCCCCTCCGCGTCGGTGGCTGCGACAGAGCTTCTAGAAGTTTGTGAGTCAGGGAACCTAGAGGCCGTGCGAGCGCTGTTGGAAGCTGGTGCCGACAGCGACTTTCGTGGGGATCACGATAGCTACACAGCTATCATGTCTGCAGCTAAGAATGGCCATGTGGAGGTTGCAGGATTGCTGTTGGCAGCTGGCGCTGACAAAGATTCGCAGGGTGGTGATGGCTACACAGCCCTGGGATTCGCAGCTGCAAATGGCCATTTCGAGATTGCACGGTTGCTATTGGAAGCGGGTGCCGACATGAACAAACGCACTTATCACCGTTGGTACACAGCCCTCATGCTTGCAGCTATGAACGGCCACATTGAGATTGCACGTTTGCTTTTGGAAGCTGGTGCTGACAAGGATTTGTGTGGGGTGTTCGGCGACACAGCCCTCATCTTCGCAGCTGCAAAAGGCCATTTCGAGATTGCACGGCTGCTATTGGAAGCCGGTGCTGACAAGGACCTGCGTGGGGAATTCGGCTACACAGCCCTCATGCTTGCAGCCAAGACAGGTTACGTGGAAGTAGCACGATTGCTGTTGGAAGCTGATGCTGGCCGGGATCCGCAACTGCCTCACTCCGGCGACACAGCCCTCCTTGTCGCAACTGAAGCTGGCAACGTTGAGTTGGCCCGGCTGCTCGTGGAAGCTGGTGCTGACAAGAGCTTGCGTGGGGAGTTCGGCACAGCCCTCACGCTTGCAACTAAGTCAGGTCACATGGAAATTGTACGCTTGCTATTGGAAGCCGGTGCTGACACGGATTCGCGTGTGGTGTTGGGCGCGAGAAGCGAGTGCTTGGTATTTGAAAATGGCAGGTTTGTTGTCGGCAAGCTGTGTGACAAGGACTTTGGTGTGGAGTTGGGCCTCACAGCCCTCATGCTTGCAGCCAAGATGGGCCACGTGGAAATGGCACGATTGCTGTTGGAAGCAGGTGCTGACAAGGACTTACGTGGCGTGTTCGGCGACACATTCATCGTGGCACCTGCAGACGGCCATTTCGATATTATGAAGCTGCGCATGGGAGCTGGGGACCAGCCCTTGCGCGTAGTGCTTGGCTGCACTGTCCTTCGTGTTGCAGCCGAAGGACGTGACGCGACATCTGATGCATTCGCACGAGTGCTGGCGGAAGCTGGCAACACAGCCCTCCTTTTCGCAACTGAAGCTGGCAATGTCGAGATGGCCCGGCTGCTCGTGGAAGCTGGTGCTGACAAGGACTTGCCGGGGCAGTTCGGATACACTGCGCTCATGCTTGCGGCTGAGACAGGCCACGAGGAGATGGCACGATTGCTGTTGGAAGCCGGTGCTGATATCGACTCGCGTGAGAAGTTCGGCTATCTCATGTTGAGGACATACTGCCCTGACGTGTTACCAGACTCCGACGCTATTTTGAATAAACAACTTATTTTTTTCTTTTGCCACCTCGCCGCAGCTGCGAGACATATAAGCATGGGCGCCACAGCCCTAATGCTTGCAGCTGCGAAGGGCTACGTGGACATCGTGCGGCTGTTGTTGGAAGGCGGTGCTGGCAAGGATTTGCGCACGCTGTGTCCTGACAAAGGCTGCATGGCTTCGCTGTGCACTGCCCAATCTGCCCTCCATATTGCAGCGAAGAATGGCTCCGTGGAGATCGTGCAGCTGTTGTTGGAAGCTCGTGCTGACACCGGTTTACCCGCGCTATGCATGGACATGTGCGCCAAGCACGGCAAACGCCGCAGAGCACACGATGGCCATCTAGATGCCGTGCAGCTCCTGCTGGAAGACGGTGCCAACAAGGATGCCCCAGATCTGCGCGGTAGCACGGCTCTGGATGTCGCGGTTCACGCCGGCCACACCGAGATTGCAAAGTTGCTGTCGGCCAAGACGTGAAGATCTTGACGGCAGTGCTGTGCTCGCTGATGGAGCGCGACGCTTCCCGGGCGGAGTACTCTTCGGGGCCTAGGGGATGTATGGGATTTAGCACAGGATTCTGAAGATCTTGATTCAGGGTTAATTACATACCAGATATCTAAGATTTGCCGTTTGTCATCAAGCTGAAGGCCGGCAGTCAGAAAAGACACCCCAGACTTCTTTGTAGGTCCATGACAGCTGTGAGCACATGCAACGTAACATGGGTGATTCTCGAAACAGGCCTTGTACAATCCTTCCACGGCACCTAGACCGTAGACCCCAAACCCTAAAACCAAGTTTTGCTGCAGGCCAGAATTTGCACGCGCGTATCATCCTAACATTAGCGGCAACCCTTAACCCTGTTTTGGGAAACTCCCACATAGTCAAGTCATCCGCGCTGGCATGGTCGGGTTGTAGGGTGTAGGCTTTAGGGATCAGGATGATACGCTCATTCCCCGCTCCGACATGGCTCAAGACCTACCCAAACTTGTGGGGTCATTTCATTACCAGTAATGCGCTGCTCGCACTCGAGGGCGGAGCATTTTGGGCACCCGTTGTTGTAATCTTCGGGACCCAGAAGAAGGTCCTTAGAGGTTGAGATGCAAAAGCCATGACGTCTCCAAGACTTCTTGAAAAGTCTCAATGCATAAGATCCTTGAGCACTAGACCCAGGCATTGTGCATCCGCATTGCTGAAACACCTTGCTTAGCAAAAGGTATTATGTTGGTAAAGTGCCGTAATCCCAGAGGATACTGGCACAGGGCCTTGTAGGCCCTCAACTCCCGGATCCATTCCACAAGCGATGCATCCTCCAAAGAAATACAGCCCAGACCCCCAAAACAGAAAAAAGGGCACCCTTATCAAGTGAGGCTCACTGGAGCACCCAGCAAAAATACGTGTACCTAAACAACCAACAGTAGGTAGCACAATGCCCCAAATTCATGGAAAAGAAAGAGCCTGCAGGGCCACTATTCTACATACGTCTCTGGTGTTCATGTATGCCCACTATTCTACATACGTCTCTTGTGTTCAGGTATGCAAGTTAATCCTAAAAAAGCTAAAGCTGTGTACCACCCGCCATCAGCGGCAGGCCGCGTGGGCTGGACAGAAGGAGGTTCCTGAACCCCCGCGGCCTACTCTGGAAGAGGCGTGGGAATCTCTTTATGATTTAGGTTTAGGGGTGTAAGGGTATAAGGTTTAGGGTCTAGGGTTTAGATGGGTTTAGAGTCTAGGGTTTAGGGTTTGGGTTTAGGGTTTAAGGTTTGGGGTCGCTGGCAGCTTCATAAGACTACCTGAAGGTTCAGGGTAGGTGAACCCCAACCGCCCCTTGAGCCCCCTAATAATTTTCTAAGACATGGTTAGAGGTACCAGTTACAATATTGTCATCATTGTCCTGAATCTGCAAGTATAAAGAGGAGCAAGGTCAGCCTGAAAACTCCAATTCCCACAGAACGCCCGAGGGTTTAGGGTTCAGGGTCCACACAAGGAGGCGCCAGCAAGGGGCATTTTGGCTTCACATTTCCTAGTCCTCATTTGGACGATCTAGGACATACCTAGATTAAGGCAGCGTAGCAGTTTTGTTTGTTGTGGTTCCTGTGCGGAGTGACTTGTTAAAATGCTGAACCCTAAACCCTAGGTTCCAAGAGATTGCGGCGATTGTTCATGTTCATTCATGTTTGGCTCCTAATGCCGAGGTGCTCCAAGGCTTGTAACATATACCTTGAACGTGGCCGCAAGAAGGTCAGTGTAACGATATTTTGGGTGGGCTATATAACATGAGTTTTAAGGGTTCATTCTCGGTTAATGTAGGCTGGTTTGGGGTTTGGGGATCAGAAGCCATCAGAGGACTGTGCCGTTCGATGTTGCCTCTTTTGGCACGTTTTTGTCACGCCTGCAAGCCATTACCACAGCCATTGTCTAGTGGTATTGCGTTTCGCAAAGTGACCCCTACAGAGCAGCTGGGGACCTCCGTGAGTCCCCTGCGATCCCTAAACATCCCTGCCGATCGGTCTGGCCATGTTGACGGCTGCGCCCCTCAGCCTGAGCCCTGTAAACCCTCGGCGAGCGCAAAATTTGCATGCAGGCTTGTAGAGCTAGTCGTGACGTTCATCCCCAGCACCTAAACCCTAAACCCTAAACCCTAGAGATCATAGGCTTGGAAGGGTTACTGCCCAACGGACTACCCCCCACCTGCATAGACTATAGAAGATGGTTTCTACTCGGGGCCCAGATGGGATTGCATATAGATCCCAAAGGGTCCTAAGTACCCATATGGGGAATACTTACCCAAACCATAAGGGAAATTACAACTACAGAAACCATACTTTGTACCATATAGGTACTTTGAACCCTTTGGGGATGCCTTAGCGACCGTACCTCGACCCTTTGGGCTTTGTAGCTTGTAGCCTCCAAGAGCCTCCAATGTAGTTCGTGTGTTGGTAGTACACGACAGTTACCGAAAAACGAGAACAAACCCAACCAGGAACTACATGAGCTAGAGTCTAAACTCCTAGTATCCCCCTTAATACCCTATAGTAGTCCCCTATATTATCCCCTATATAACCCCCTTTTAAGGAGTCTAAACCCTAAACCCTAAACCCGAAACCAACCCAACCAGGAACTACATAGGAGCCCTTGGCTAGCAAGATGATCAGGATCGGCAAAGAGAGGCCTTGCCAGAGATCGTGGCCAGACTGGTAGAGAAGATGGTCTCCGATATGGAAGCCCTGCTCGCAAGGGGGGGTTTACGGATTAGGATTCCCTGGACCCCCCAAGGGGTTTAGGGTTTAAGGTTTAGGGTTTAGGGTTCCCTGGACCCCCAAAGTAGGTAAAATATTCGTCCAAAACCCATCTAAGCTGGTCAAAAGGGTTGTGATTTTTGCCAGTTTTTTGGAATTCAGGTAGTGTTTAGGCTTCAGTGTGAAGTTCTAGGAGGGCCGTTACTTTCCCGAGCATCCACATCCGCATATACAAGAAACCGGGACACAATGTGCTCGTCTGGTTTTAGGGTGGAGAGAGGCCAAGTAGTTTCAGCTCGATTGAGGACATTTGAGTAGTGTTTTATTTGTGGATTCTATAGTACCCATTTTAGAGTAAGATTATATCCTGCTTTTGGGGTATAGTATTTTATTACAGTACTAGGTTCAACCACCAAAAAAACGCTACTCATTTGCGGAGATGGGTAGCCTTTGCACCTAACTGAGTGCCGCTACATGGAGGGACACTGGAGTTTGGTCGGATACTTTCTCCCCTTACTAGAAGCATTCTAAACATACTACAACTAACCATGTATAAGTGGGTTGCCTAACCCATAAGTAACCCTGAACCCTAAACCCCAAACCTATTAATAACCCTAAACCCTAAACCCTAAACCCATTAGTAACCCAACCATCCAAAGCCATCCCAAGCCCCCGAACTTCATCTGACCCTCCCCCCCCCACTAAAACCTCAATGGGAGTTCCCCAAAATTAGGGGTACCATTTTGGGAAACCCATAATAAGGACTGTAGCATCCTGGGGTCCTATATTGCGGTCCCCCTATTCTGGAAACCTACCAAATGCCGAAACCTGCCGATCCAATGCTTCCGTCGGCCCAGAGGTCTGGGAGAACTCCTCGAGGTTCTGGGTTCAAGGTTTTCAGGGTTAGGGATTAGGGTACTTGCAAAGGTTGCGGGGAGCCAGTCAATGGGTCCGTAATGGGATACATGGGGTCACTTTAGGGGTGATACCTGAAACCCTAAACACTAAACCCATACTTACCAAGTCCGCCTGGCCCTCCTAGTAGAGCGCGCTTTGTCACAAACGGCACTTTCAGGGGTTAGAGTTCAGGGTTTCGGTTTTAGGAAGGGATCTTTGGATACATGGGGACTGTAAGGACGCGATGGGGTCCCCATAATGCATGCCAGGAGGAATATGCTCGATAAACTGCCGGGCAAAGGAAGTATCACTCTATCGTAGCTTATGGACTTCGAGTTTTCAGGGAGAAGTGTATGTCTCAACGTGGGTCGTGCCGACATCATTCACAGAATGGGATCTTTGATGTGCCGGTCTGCAAAAAACGTAAACTCAAAATAAGTTAGAACCATCTCGGAACAGTCAGAATCACTACGTGGTGCTGCTTGTACGTCATTAGAGTGAACAAGAATGATATGGATGATGGCTGCGTTGAGCGGGTAGATTTTGCTGCTACGTGGTGCGGCAAAGTAGATCTGCAAGCAAGCATGGTAGTACGCTCTAGCATTATGACCAAAATCATGGTACCTATCTGAATAATAGTACATCTTCCAACCTGAATTCAACCTCTAGCCCGTACAGCCCCAAGATTACACCCTAAAAATGGGGAACAGGGAAGCACGATGATCCATGCTAGCTTTCCCTCCTTTAGGTCTCTGGGGTTATTGGCTCTGGCTATGGGGTGATACTGTTTTCAACCCGCTGGGCCTCCCCTGCAGACTCTGCTCCAAATCCTAAACCCTAAACCCTGGACCCTAAATCCTGATCCCTAACCTTGCATCCCAAACCCCAATCCCCACAACATGAATGCAAAATCCAAGAATCTAAATCTGAGACCCTAAGCCTTACCTAGGCCCACAGAAACCTACCCCCTCTGTAGGATATCTAACTTTACATCTAGTACCTCATCATACAAAAATTCAGTATCCTAAAAGGGGTTGGGTATAGAAGTCTAGGTACAGCCCCAAATCACTGCCCAAGGATTCGCTGACGGCCACTCTAGCGGGCCTTGAGGCGCGGCTGGCGCGGACCGAGGCGATGGGAAAGGAACCTTTTTTCTGAACCCTAAACCCTGTAACGGTCTTGAATAGGGTCTACATAAGGGCTTCATATAACCATCCTATTAGCAGTATTCTCCAAGTGTTGCAGGCCCTAAGCCCTTCTGGCAGGCCTTATTTAGTTGGGGAGTTGCTTCAAAAGGATTACAGGTCGGCTCAATATGTGTGGGGAGATGGCGTTTGAGGGTTTTAAGACAGCAGATGCAATATTGGGGGATGGCTTCTAGTGTCAGTGATGCGGAGTAAACGCTATGCCTGGCTAGATCCTAACAAAAATTTAAAAGATCCGCGTACCTATACGGGCTACGAAGATCAGCCCCTTTGCTGGCTACATTCTAATTAGACGATCCGCGTACCTATATGGGCTACAGTCTGACCTCCTTAAAGGGGGTTATAGGGTTTAATTAGGGTTGAAGATAAGATTTGGGGTTCTAAACTCCTTAAGGGGGCATATCTAGGGGATTGTATAAGGAAGTATAATAGGGGTTATGAAGGGGAATACTCAGAGTTTAGACAATGGCTCATGCGCTGCATACGTTAGGCCCAACTGTGTTCATGAATGTCTCAAGCCGGAGTATACATGTGGGTACTTTTGAACAGATCGTGTAACCTGGCCTGCCGGAGCGCTGAAAAAAGGCGTGACAGGATCAACTGACCTCTGAACAAAATATGTGGCTCGATCATGCACTGTTAGTCGTTGGGGGCCGTCCCTAAATCCGAAAGGGAAACCAACCAGCGGTGGCCAGCTGTGGACTGATATCCTCAACCTCACGTGCCCAATTTTATGAGAGCTTAGGGTCCAAGGTTCAAGAGGATTAAGATTTAAGGTTTCTAAGGGGTACTTGGAGGGTCAAGGGGACCTACTAAGTAGGTGGATAAGCGAGGTCACTCAATGGGTCATAGAGAGCTATAAGTACGCTTACTTACTACTAAGTCCAGCCGGCTCTCCAATTACAGCCCTGCATGTAGTGCCGCAGAACTACCCACGAGTCTATAGCCCCCCTGAAGTAGATAGAATATGAGGTATATGGGGATCTTATTATAATATACCCAAAGCCATGTTCTATCTGCTCCTGGGGGACTATACCCTAAACCCCTAAACCGTAAACCCTCAAATAACCCCCCCAATGTCTGGGCTGCTAAGCCCGCTCCCCTCAACCCAGCGCATCCTTCAGCCGCATAGTCTCCCTCAGGTAGATAGAACGTGGAATTCCCCGGAAGCATAATAAGAACCCCGTATACCGTATACCCCATATTCTACTTACTCCAAGGGGGGTTGTAGACCCTAAGCCCTAAACCTGTAGCAGTATGTGTGGTTGTCATTTTCTTTTCCATTATCCCAATATATAATCCCTAAG